GCCGAGCCCGGGACCCCCCGGGAATGTGGAAATCCCACCCTCGCTTCACGTGGCCTTTCCTCCGAACCGGGAAGGGGTGGCGAAGGGGGGTGCCCAACTGGGTTAATTAATTTAGTGCAATGACATAGGGGAGCCTTTTTTCTCATGATGCCTACTGCCCTTAAATGTTGAAACCGGGTCTTTGTAAGCAATGTCTGTGTATCTATGTGTATATATGAGGGACAAATTTTAAATTACTGCCTTTTTTCCCTGTTTATTTTTCTGAGTAATTCCAGATGTACTTTAGTCTCTCTACTGTCAAAACTTTTATATTGTAAATCTGATGCTGGTGGCTTTTGGTTATTTTGGTTTTTGTTTTTGTAAAAAAGAAAAAAAAAGGAAAAAAAAGAAAAAAGAAAAAGAAAAAAAAGTCTGCATCTCTCTATGTTGTCAGTTTTAGGCTGTAAATTCCAACTATCAATAAAAGCTCAAAATTCACGTGCCAGTGGTGGATTCCTCCATCCTGCAGGACACGCTGACCCCCGCCGTGCTGCGTCCCACCGCCACCGGCGTGAGCGGGGCAGCTTCGCTCTCCAGCGAAGGGCAGGGGCCGAGCGCAGGCAGGCAGCGAGTGCAGGCAGCGTTCGGGCTGGTGCCTGCAGGAACCTGCAGCTGCCTTCTGCCTGGGCGCCCAGGAGGGCGGAGGAGGAGCTGGGGTGGCTTCCTGCAGCCCCCGGCTGGCTGGCTCGTTACCAGCTTTGCCACGTGTTTGCCTCTGGCATGGCTGGTCCCTTTTGTTGGACTGTGTAGGCTGCATTGTAGGAAGATCCCATGGCTTCTTGTGCCAAAATCCCCAAGTCTCCACCCGGAAGAAAGCCGCTGGTGGGGCAGTGAAGGCTGGGACCCCCGTCAGTGCGAAGGGAGAGCAGGGCTGGCTCCTGCAGCTGTGGGCAGGCCTGGAGGCACCACCCTGGTGCCCTCCGCTCCGCTTGGATGACCTGTCGGGACTGCGTGATGACACTGAAGCATGAGGCCTCCTCTCATGCCCTGCAGTTTTTCAGGGGGTCCTGCTCTCGCTGGCTGCAGCCAGGAGCAGGTTTGAGCTGCATGGAGCCGCTGTTCCTGCATCTGATGAAGCATTTAGGTTGGCTGTGCTGGGGGAACCAGACGCAGGTTTGGTACCAGGTGCCTCCTGTCCTGGTCCCTCAGCCTGCCCAGTGCTCCCCGGCATGGGAGAGTTGCTTGCGAACTGGTGCCGTTGGGTTTGGGTTTCTCTGCGGCTCTGAGCAGCTGCCCTGCAGCTCCCATCCCCGTCACGATGCTGCTGCTGGTCTCTGGGAAGGGTGGTTTGCTCTGCAGGGACAGGCAGCTCCGGGCTGCAGCCGGAGGTGTACCCCCTTTTCCCAGGGAAGAGGTTCTGCTGCAAGCCCAGAGCCCAGGCAGGGACTAACCCACCCGGGGAAGCCAGCACCGCTGAGCCTCACCCCCATGGGCTCTGGGCAAAACTTGACAGAACAAGCAGGAGCTGGTAGCACAGTGCAGACCTGTGGCTCAGGACAAAGCTCCTGCCACGGGGAATGCGGGCCCTGGCCCAGCCTCTGTCCTGCCACCAGCTCTCCGTGAGTCTCCGTCCCGGCCCCTTGGGACAGGAGCTGCTGGCCCAGTGCACTGGGGGGCAACCAATACTGGCGGCAGTGAGGCAAAAGCGCACATGTCATATTAATTTTTTTATTAAATTCAGTTAGTTTTCTCTTTATATAATAACCTTTTTCCTCTAGGCACAATACAATACAAGGACTCTGTATGTTTGACACAATGTACAGAACTTCAATAATCTACAACTGCTCAGGTAAGTTACAAAAACCTCCATG